TATCCCGATGTCATCATTGCTTATTTTATCTTAAATTTTAAATTTTAACCAGCCCGTAATGCTATCATAGTAAAAGTGCTTTGGCAAAACTGCTCCTTTTCGTATTTTTTTTTAAACCCCTGTATGTGTGCACAAATTTTTTAAAAAAATAAATAAATAAATAAAAAAAAAATAAATTAAAAAACTACCATACCTTTACTAGGGATACCAATAACTTTTTTTTTTTTTATTTTTTTTTTTTTTCAAAAAAGTCGGCCTCTCCCACCGAGGCCCGGGTGAAACCCAAAAAAAAAAGAAAAACCCCAAAAAGAAAAAAACTTCATCATCATTCAAACTTTCAAACCACCTCACACATTATCACCCGCTTTTTTCAGAGGTGCTCAGAATACCAAAAGTTTAGAAACATAAACTATAAAGAAACACAACATATCCCTTCCCCCAAACTGCCAAATCCCAAACCCCCCCTTTAAAGTGCAGGCAAATTTTAATTCCCATTTTCCCCGGACTAAGTCCGACTATAGAAAATAACCGGTTTTCCCCCCGAATCCCTTTCACTAAATATTACCCTGCTCACACTCCCAAAAGAAACGTTTGGTCCCCCAAATATCATTCGTTTTCCCTTCACTCCTATCTAAAAACGCTCAAAAAACGGGTTGCTGGAAAGTCCAAGCCCCTACCACAAAACCCTCCTTTACCCCCTCTTTCCACCCCTTTTTTAGGAAGACCCCTACCCCTCCCTTTCCCTTCCCCCATAGAATTTTTTAAAGCTTTTCCCTGTCCCTTCTTTTTTGAAAAAATTCTCTCCCAAATGACCAAACCATTCAACAACCCCTCTTCTGGGCCCCCTTTACTAATGCTTTTATTAACTCCACACCTTTTCCTAATTTCCACGGGCCGTATTTTTTTGCATAAATATTAAAAACCACACATTGGGCCCCTTTAAAAAGGACATCTCCACGCCTCCAACCGTCCCCCCCGCTGCGCAAATTTTAAACCCCAAAGGGTTTACATCCATATAAAAAGTGTTGGACTACTATACTTTCTACTTTCCCTTTTTTTTCCCCATAGATAACGTTTTTTTTTTACTTCCCCCATATACCTCAACGGGAAACCCCTCAAACCTTTTTTTCCCCCATCAATTCTATGATTAACCCCACCTTTCATAAACCCCTCCGCCGACAAAAGTCAACTCCCAAGTATCTGAAAAAAATTCACTTCTTTTTTATACTCCCCCTCCCCCAAAATTTTTTATCCCCAAATTTTTTTTTATCTAAATCATTGGATACCTCAAACAAACCTTTCTCTTTTCTATGTTCACTTTCAAAACCCCTTTTTACCCTTTTCACACATTCTCAAACTCATCCACTAACCTTTTTCCCGTTTTTTTTTAAAACTCCCATAAGCAAAATATCATCAGCAAAAATTTAATGCGCCCGTTCCCCCTTTTTGAATTTGATTCCCCCCTTTAAAAATTTTAAACCCACCCCCCCTCCTGAACCCCCCTAAACTTTACCCTTTTTTTACAACCCCCCAACTATAAAATAAAATTTAAAAAACCATGGGGACATTAAAACATCCCTGTCTAAGACCTACTTTTACCGGGAAAATAATTTTCCCCCTCTTCTACATACCCTAACCGAACCTCACTAACCTCATAAAAAATCTTTACAGCATTTAGTAACTTTAAACCCCCCCTATTCCCAAAAACTTTCAACATCTGCCACAAATTTCTCCTCTATCCATCTATCATATGCCCTTTTTTAAATCCATAAATGCAATAAAAAATCCCCACCTTTATCCCAAATACTGTTCACATATAGCTTTTTAATGTAAACACTTTAAACTACACATTCCTACCCACTCTGAACCTCCCCGCTCATCCGCAATCCTACATTCTGTCCCTTTCCTTTTAATTCTTTTAATTATAACCCCCAAACCCAATACTTTTCCTGGGATACTCAGTAAAAATTAAATTTCCCCTATAATTTTTAACAATCTTTTTTTTGTCCCCCTTTTCCCCTTTTTAAAAAAGGGACTATACATGCTCCCCGCCAATCCCAAAGGTACCTTCCCCCTTTCAAACATTTTTTAAACAAAAGGGACCAACCACCCCCCAACAAAAATATCCCCCCCTTTCTTTTTAACATTTTTGTCTGATCCCATCCGTTCCACTGCTTTAAACCCCCCTTTCATTCTACGTAATTCCTCCTACTTTCCACCACACTTACAATTTTGCCTTCTTTACTCCTAAAAGTGGTTAACCTCCCCCGGCCAGTTTCCCTGAAAAAAATTTCCCCTTTCCCTTTTTTCCTCAACCATTAAAAAATTCCCTTTAAAATATTCCCGCCATCTACCTAAAAAACCTCCCTCCCCCCTCTATAAACCCCCCCTACCTGTTTTTAAATGACAAAACCATACTTTCCCTAGGGTTTCCCTTTAAATTTGGTTTTTAACTCACTTCCCCCCCAAAATTTTTTTTTTTTTTTCATTAAAATTTCTTGACAGGGGCCTCTCCGACTCAAACAAACTGCTTTTCCTTTTGGGAAATCCTCACCACCCTCTTCACCTTTCTTTTACTCTCCATATACTCTGCTCTTCTTATAAAACTTCTGCTTTTTTAAAAACCCCTCGAAGCTACCTTTTTTCTTTTTATCACACCCTTTTCTTTATCATTTCCCAAACCAATTTACTCCTCTTTTTTCCTGCCCCCACCCCTCCTAAAACCACCAAAAACCCGCCCCACTTCAAAACTGCAATTTTTTAAAAATATTCCAAACCCCCTTCAACCCCCCCAACCCACCCGATTTTTCAAATTTCCCACCTTTTTTGCCAATATCCTTATATCTCGCTCGAACTTCCCTCCCCCTTAGTTTATACACTTTTTACCCTCCCCCTTACTTGTTTTTTTGCACCTTCCCTTTCCCCTCTACCTCTTACTCTAACGTAGCACAAATAAATAATGATCCCCATATACAATTGCCCCCTATAAACATGTACAAAACCTGGAGCCTACCCATCAACCTTTTTTTTCCCCCAAACATAAACAACAAAATACTTCTTACGTGCTTTCATTTAACCTTTTATATTTATTTATCCCTTTTATTTATAAAAAAAAGTATTACTTATTACCAAATTTCTTTCAAAACATAGCTCAAAAAAGGCCCCCCCATTTCAATTTTCCCTTTGGGAAACCCCAAATTTACCTACTTTCCCCCCTCCATAACATTTTTTTTCGCACTTTAGCATTGGAAAAACCCCCAAACCCCCATTAACTCCACACTTGATTCTAACTTCCCCCTGCATTTACTCAACATTTCCCCCGAATTTTCTCTCCTCCCCCTAAAAACTTTCTCTTCTCCAGGTGCATACAACCCGGGTTAAAAACCCACTTTTTCACATCCAATCTTTTTTTTTACCCCCACATAAACCTTGAAAAAAATACATTTAAAGTCCCTCTTTTTCCCGCCAAAGCTTATCCTTTAAAAATTATTGCTACTTTTCCCTTTTTTAGCTCAACTCTATTTGAAACCCCTGACCAATCCCCTTTATTTTTTCTTTCCCTTGAAACCTCCCACCCCCCCTTTAGCTTTGTTTCACTTAAAGCCAGGACATCCAGTTTCTTCTCATTCATAACATCCACAATCATCTCTTTCTTATCATTTGCACAACATCCACGCACATTCAGACTTCCCACTTTGACAATTTTCTTCTTATTCTTATCCCCCTATAATTTTTGCACTCTCTTTTGTCCCCTTTGCCTTTATACAAAGGAACTATGCATGCTCTCTGCCAATCCCTAGGTACCTTCCCCTCTTCCATACATTTATTAAATAATTGCACCAACCACTCCAAAACTATATCCCCACCTGCTTTTAACATTTCTATCTTTATCCCATCAATCCCGGCTGCTTTACCCCCTTTCATTTTACCTACTGCCTCACGAACTTCCCCCACATTCACAACAGGTTCTTCCTCACTCCTACAAGATGTTATTCCTCCTTGCCCTATACACTAAATCACAGCTTCCCTATCTTCATAAACATTTAACAATTCCTCAAAATATTCCTTCCATCTTCCCATAACCTCTAACTCTCCATTTAATAACTCTCCTCTCCTATTTTTAACGGACAAATCCATTTGTTCTCTAGGCTTCCTTAACTTGTTAATCTCACTCCAAAACTTTTTCTTATTTTCAACAAAATTTGTTGATATTGGTTGATATTAATTAATAATAAACATGGCATTCTTTTGAATACTGATTTTGAGGTTTACCAACTATTCCTAACAGCTCAAATGCCTTAGTTATTATTAGCAACTGTACGTATTTGTGAGAATAATGTTATTATTGAGCTTTTTTTTAACATGTCGGCAGTTTCCCACCAAGGTGGGGTGACTCAAAAAGAAAGAAAAGCCCAAAAAGAAAGAAAAAACTTTTGTCACTCAACACTTTCACCATCACTTATATATAATCACTGTCTTTGCAGAGGCACTCAGATACGACAGCTTAGACTTCTCTCTAAACTGCCAATATCCCAAACTCCTCCTTTAAAGTGCAGGCATTGTACTTCCCATCTTGTTATTTATATAAATTAGAGGTAATAGGTTGGTAGACAGCAATTACCCAGGGAGGTACTACCATCCTGCCAAGTGAATGTAATTATTTTACATGATGATAGGATTGCTAGTGTCTTTTTTCTGTCTCATAAACATGCAAGATTTCAGGTACGTCTTGCCACTTCTATTTACATTCAGGTCACACTACACGTGCATGTACAAGCATATACATATACGTATACTCCTCTGGGTTTTCTTCTATTTTCTTATTAGTCCATGTTTATTTCTGCTGATCTCCATGGGGAAGTGGAACAGAATTCTTCCTCCGTAAGCCAAGCGTGTCGTAAGAGGTGACTAAAATGTCGAGACCAAGGGGCTAGTAACTCCTTCTCCTGTATATATTAAAAAATTTAAGAAGATAAACCTTCCTTTGTTTTTCTTTATAGGCCACCCTGTCTCGGTGGAATGCAGCCAGTGGATTGAAAGAAAGAAGATTTATGTAAATTTGTTCTAAATTTTCTGGCTCTTAATGAATGTTTTCTTAAAAGTTTTGGTGATTTGTTAAATTTTAATTTACCTGTAATATGTATTTCTAGGTCATTATAACTGGCATGTTGGACTTTGAGCAAAATACTTATATTGCTCTAGATGAAGTACAATACATTGAGAATGGTCAGTGTGGTGTTGACTATATAATGCCTAGTACTGCTGATCCTACTATTCAAGGTAAGTAGTCAAAAATTTCAGCTGCTCTAAACTTTTGTTTTATGAAAAAGTTGAAATAAACTAGTTATTCGAGAATATATGACTTATATTTTTCACTGTGCTCATCGAGCTTTTAGCTTTGCTAGTTAAGTAGTGTGACCCCACTCAAGTTGAATACCATCTTGTGAGTTTAAAGGGTGTGATAAGGGAAGAAAAGCTTGCTTTTGAGAGGTTTTTTTACAAAGCAGAAGTGATATAAGAAGGGTGGAGTATATGGAGAGTAAAAGAGAGGCAAAGAGAGTATTGAGGGAGTGCCATTGAAGAGAAAATGATAGCGGGTGAGGTAATGTCAACAAATTTTGCTGAGAATAAGGAAAAGTTTTGAAGTTAGATAAATAGGTTAAGCCTAGGGAATAAATGGACTTGACTGTTAAAGTAGAATAGGGGAGTTAGTAGATGGGAAGTTGGAGGTACTGGGAAGATGGCTGGGATATTTTGAGAAACTGTTAAATGTTGATGAGAGGGAGGCAACCGATTTCATGCATTGGCCAAGGAGGTGCATGAGGTATTGCGTAGAATGAAAGGGGGTAAAGCAGCTGAAGCATATGGAATCATGACTGAAATGTTAAAAGCAGGTGGGGATATAGTTTTGGAGTAGTTGGTACTTTGTTCAATAAATGTATGAAAAAAAAAGGGAAAGGTAGCTTAGGACTGGCAGAGAGCATGCCTAGTTCCTTTATGAAAAGGGAAGGGGGATAAAAGAGTGTAAAAATTATAGAGGAATAAGCCTACTAAGTATACCTACTAAGGTGTATGGTAGGGTTATTATTGAAAGAATTAGAGGTAAGACAGAGAGCAGGATTGCGAGGAGGCTTTACAATGGGTAGGGGATGTGTAGACCAAGTGTTTACATTGAAGCATGCAAGTGAAAAGTATTTAGATAAAGGTAGGAAAGTTTTTGTTGCTTTTATGGATTTAGAAAAAGCTTCCTGGGTAGAGGCATGGTTGACAAATAGGCAGCAAAGAGTTTGCATAAATGGGGAAAAATCAGAATGGGGGCATGTCACAAGCGGTGTTCCACAGGGGTCAGTGTTGGGTCCCTTGTTGTTCACAATTTACATAAACGATATAGATGAGAGAATAAATAGCGAAATAAGCAAATTTGCTGATGACACCAAAATAGGCTGTCCAATTCATTATAATGAGAACGTTAGCGCACTCCTGGATGATTTGAATAGACTGATGCAGTGGTTGGAGAAGTGGCAGATGCAGTTTAATATAGACAAATGTAAAGTTCTAAATGTTGGACAGGACAATAACCATGCCACTTATAAACTGAATAGTGTAGATCTTAATACTACTGATTGCAAAAAGGATTTAGGAGTTCTGGTTAGCAGTAATCTGAAACCAAGACAACAGTGCATAAGTGTTCACGATAAAGCTAACAGAATCCTTGGCTTCATACCTATAAGTATAAATAATAGAAGTCCTCAGGTTGTTCTTCAGCTCTATATATCCTTGGTTAGGCCTCATTTAGATTATGCTGCACAGTTCTGGTCACCGTATTACAGAATGGATATAAATACACTGGAAAACTTACAGAGGAGGATGACAAAGCTGATCCCATGTATCAGAAATCTTCCCTATGAGGATAGACTGAGGACCCTGAATCTGCACTCTCTAGAAAGGCATAGAATTAGGGGGGACATGATTGAGGTATATAAATGGAAAACAGGAATAAATAAAGGGGATGTAATAGGGTGCTGAAAATATTCAGCCAAGACAAGATTCGCAGCAATGGTTTCAAGTTGGAAAAGTTCAGATTCAGGAAGGACATAGGAAAGCACTGGTTTGGTAATAGAGTTGTGGATGAGTGAAACAAACCCTCGAGTACTGTCATAGAAGCTAAGACATTGTGTAGTTTTAAAAATAGGTTGGATAAATACATGAGTGGGTGTGAGTTGGACCTGACTAGCTTGTGCTACCAGGTCTGGTGCCATGCTTCTTCCTTAACCCTTTGAGGGTTTTCGTCGTACTAGTACGTCTTACGCGTAGGGGTTTTTGACGTACTAGTACTCATAAATTCTAGCGACCTCAAATCTAGTGGGAGAAAGCTGGTAGGCCTTCATATGAAAGAATGGGTCTATGTGGTCAGTGTGCACAGTCTAAAAAAAATCCTGCAGCACACGGTGCATAATGAGAAAAAAAAAACTTTTTCCATTTTTTTTTAATAAATCAGCGACTTTGCAGTGTATTTTCGTATAGTATTTATTGTTGTATTCTAGTTTTCTTGGTCTCATTTTATAGAATGGAAGACATATTACTGAAATTGAGATGATTTTGACTGGTTTTACATTGAAAGGTGCCTTGAAATTGAGCTCAAAGTAGCAGAAATGTTCGATTTTTACCAAACTTCAAAAGTAAACAAATCGTGCCAAGCGTGCAATACACGTCAACTGGTGAGTCTAATATTCTTTCACAAGTGCACCAATAATATTTATACCATTTTTTACACTAATGCAGTAGTCTGCATAACAGTAAATCTTATATTTTTTGTGAGAATAAAAATTCAAAGTGGAAAGCAAAAGAATATAAGAGGGGCCTTGAGACGTGACTAATGACTAGGGAAATGTCATTTTAGTGCCAGGAATGTCTTTCTTGTTTATTCTGGACCCTATTCGGAAATTGGCATCTTTTGAAATTTGTGTGAAATTGGCAAAATTGCTAAATTCTGACCACTGTACTGGATAGTTGAATTTATAAATGGGTGGTTTCTTGCACCCATTCGATAGAAAAAATGGAGTTCTAGCGAAATATTCATGTTTTTTGTCGACTAGTACAGTGAAATTGGCCGAAAATGGGGCTCAAAGTGGGCAAAGTCGCCGATCCGTAAACATCGCCGAGACCGCTAACTTTGCGAGAGCATAATTCCGTAAGTTTTCTATCAAATTTCAAACTTTTGGTGTCGTTATGATCGGGAAAAGATTCTCTATCTTTTCATAAGAGAAAATAATTTTTTTTTTTTTTTAAATTTGGCCGACCCTGAGAACGAGTTTCGGAGAGGGCCTGTCGACCCTCAAAGGGTTAAGTGGAAGTGACCTGGCTAGGTGGTCGTTGTTCTAGGCCGGGGGGTGGCATGGACCTGCTTCGCATGGGTCAGTAGGCCTGTTGCAGTGTTCCTTCTTTCTTATGTTCTAATGCTCTTATGATAGGGTGGATAGGGGAGCAATGTGGTAGGTGTTTTAAGTGTATGGAATAGGTGGTTAATTGCTAAATACTGTAAATAATTTTTATGAGGATAGGGAGGCTCAGGTTAGGGTGCATAGGAGAGAGGGAGATTACTTTCCGGTAAAAGTAGGTCTTAGACAGGGATGTGTAATGTCGCTGTGGTTGTTTAACATATTTATAGGTGGTGTTGTAAAAGAAGTAAATGCTAGGGTGTTAGAGAGTGGGGAAGGACTAAATTATGCAGATTCTAATACAAAATGGGAGTTGACAGTTATTTTTTTTTATTATACTGTGCTTTTGGGAGATTCTGAGAAGAAGTTGCAAAGGTTAATGGATGAATTTGGGAGGGTGTGTAAAGGAAGAAAGTTGAAAGTGAACATAGACAAGAGTAAGGTGATGAAGGTATCAATCGATTTAGATAAGGAAAAATTGGATATCAGATTGGAGGGATGGGGTATGGAAGAAGTGAATGCGTTTAGATATTTGGGAGTAGACTTGTTGGTAGATGGGTTTATGAAGGAAGAAGTAAACCATAGAACTGACAAAGCAAAAAGGTGGGTGGTGCATTGAGGTATCTGTGGAGACAAAGAACATTATCCATGGAGGCACAGAAGGGAATGTATTAGATACTGGTACCAGCACTCTTATATAAGTATGAAGCAGTGTTTGTGAATGTTGTAGCAATAAGGAGGCTGAAGGCAGTAGAGATGTCTTGTCTAAGGGCATTATGTGACATAATTATTATGCAGAGAATTCATAGCATGAAGGTGTCCTGTAGCTCGATTGCTAGCATACTCATTTCACACACTGAGGTCCATGGTTCAATCTGCGGAAACAATAGGATGTGTTTCATTAAGACACCTGCTTTTCTATTCACCTATAAGTAAAATAGATACCTCAGTCTTAGTCGACTGGTGTGGGTTGCATCCTGAGGACAAAATTGACCTAAGATGCCTGAAATACTCTACATAAGGGGCTTTCTGTATACAGGTCCACACCCCTTTATTCGAAATTCTGAAATTTGAAAAGTTCCGAAAACCAAAGTTTTTTCATGGAGTGTTGAGTGTCAGTCATCTCAGTGCTGGGTCACGCCGCCACATGGTGGCATGACCCAGCACTGACAGCCAGAGTGGCAGGCGTCAGTTGTGTCTCAACACTTGTAGTGTTCACATGTGTGTCTGCTGTTTGCTGATATTTTATTTTTGCATTTTATTTTGTGACTGTTTAATTTCACTGTGAAAATGTCAAAAAAGAGCTTCAGATACCCCTATGGGTAACAGTGAGAAAAAGAAAAGGAAGCATCTGATGTTATCAGTAACGCAGAAAATAAGAGTTACTGCAGAAGCTTGATTGTGGTGTGTCAGTGAGGTTTCTTACTGAAGAATATGGTGTTGGAACTACCACTGTTTATGATTTAAAGAAGCAGGAAGACAAGTTACTGAAATATTATAGTGACAGTGATGACCAAAAACTAATGAAAAATAGGAAAACACTGCATAGTCTTTAAACCTTTGACTGTTTTGGTTGTATATATACGTCTTACGAGCCTCTGTTTTTGACGTATATATACGTACTCATAAATTCTAGAGGCTTCAAATCAAGCAGGAGAAAGCTAGTAGGCCCACATGTGAGAGAATGGGTCTGTGTGGTCAGTGTGCACCATATAAAAAAAAATCCTGCCGCATGCAGTGCATAATGAGAAAAGAAACTCCAACCGTTTTTTTAATTAAAATGCGGATTTGTGGTCTATTTTCATATAGTGTTTATGGTTATATTCTTGTTTTCTTGGTCTCATTTGATAGAATGGAAAACATATTATAAAAATTGAGGTGATTTTGATTGATTTTATTATGAAAAGAACCTTGAAATGGAGCTCAAATTAGGGGAAATATTTGGTTTTTGCCGATGTTCAAAAGTAAACAAATGATGTCATTTTCCAATAAATGTCCAAGTAGCCATTCTATTATGCAGTCATGAATGGGTTGACATTATTTATACAATTATTACAATATTGTAGTAGTCTGCATAACAGTAAATCTTCTATTTTTTGTTTGAAAAAAAATTTGAAATAAAAAGCAAGAGTAATATCAGAGGGGCCTGGAGACATGACTGATGAACAAAGAAAATGTTATTTTAGAGCCAGGAATGTCTGCATTGTTCATTCTGGACCCTATTTTGAAATTGTCATATTTTTTAATTTTCGTGAAATTGGCCAAATTGCAAATTTCTAACCATGTTATTGGGTAGTTGAATTCTGTAAATGGGCAGTTTCTTGTACTCAATCGATAGAAAAAATGGTGTTGTAAAGAAATAGCTATGAGTTTGGTCGACTGGAACAATGGAATTAGCCGAAAATAGGATTCAAAGTGGGCGAAATTTGCTGATTCGTAAGTATCACTTAGGTCACTAACTTCGTGAGAGCGTAATTCCATCAGTTTTCCATCAAATTTCGTTCTTTTGGTGTCATTACAATCGGGAAAAGATTCTCTATCATTTCAAAAGAAAAAAATAATTTTTTTTTTTTTAAATTTTGCGACACCAGGAGACACCTCAGGATTTCGGGTTGTGACAGTTAAGGGGTTAAAAACACCATCTGTCAGTCGTCTTGAGAATCACGTTCCTGGTCTATAATTATCCAATTATTTCATTTATCAGTATATTACTCTATAAATAAACCATAGTAGTATTTGTAGTCTTTATTTATCCCGCTTAGTGTAAGTATTCATACGTTTTTGCTGCAGTGTTAATGTTTGATTATGGGGTGCTGCCCTAGACCCCATCTTCATTCTGAAATTCGAAAAATTCTGAAATTTGAAACACTACTGGCCCCAAGGGTTTTGGATAAAGGGATGTGGACCTGTAGTAGTATGTCATTGATGTCAGCTATGGTCTATACATGTATACATTATACATGTACTCTTGTACAAATAAAGGTTATTATTATTTTTATTATTATTATGAGGAGATGTGGAGTTACTAAAAGTATTATTCAGAGGGCTGAGGAGGGGTTGTTTAGGTGGTTTTGTCATTTAGAGATGATGGAGCAAAATATGATGACTTGGAGAGTATATAAATCTGTAATGGAGGGGTAGGGGTCATCCTAGGAAAGGATGGAGGGAGAGAGTAAAAGAGGGTTTTGTGTGCAAAAGGTTTAGACACACAGCAGGCATGTGTGAACATGTTAGATAGGAGTGAACGGAGATGAATGGTTTTTGGGGCTTGAGGAGGTGTTGGAGTGTGAGCAAGGTAATATTTTGTGAAGGGATTCAGGGAAACTGGTTAGCTGGACTTTAGTCTTAGAGCTGGGAAGTACAGTGCCTACACTTTATAGAAGGGGTTTGGGATATTTGCTGTTTGGAGTGACATCTGAACTGTCGTATCTGAGCACCTCTGCAAACGCGGTGATTATATGTGAATGATGGTGAAAGTGTTTCTTTTCTTGGATCACCCTGCCTTAGTGGGAGACAGCCAGCATGTTATAAAAATATGATTTGTTCTGTAATTTGTTTTATAGGTTTACAGAGAATTATTGACAAACAGTTTTGCAAAGATGCTTTGGAAACTAAGAAATGCTTAACCCCTTGAGTATCACGATCCCCTCTTGCAAACTTACTCCCAGGGTCAAAAATTTAAAAAAAAAAAAAAAAAATTCTTATGAAATGAGAGAGAATGTTTTTCTGAAGATAATGAAATTTGTTGGAAAACTTATGGAATTACACTTTTGCAGAGTTAGCGACCTCAGCAATATTTACACATCAGCGATTTTGTCCACTTTGAGTCATATTTTGGGCCAATTCCAGTGTTCCAGTCAACCAAACTAAATTTCATACAAAATTAAAGAAAAGCCAATTTCAAAATAAGGTCCAGATTAAGTAATGCAGGCATTCCTAGCACTAAAATAACATTTTCTCTGTTCATTAGTCATGTCTCCAATCCTCTCTTATATTATGCTTGCTTTCCATTTTTGAATTTTTATTCACATAAAAAATAGAAGATTTACTGTTATGCAGACTACTGCATTATTGTAATGATTGTATAAATAATATCAGCACAATAAAAAATGCATATTAGACCCACCAGTTGATGTGTATTGGACTCATAACATGATTTGTTTACTCTTGAACATTGGCAAAAATTGAACATTTCCGCTACTTTGAGCTCAGATTCGAGCTACTTTCAGTCCGGAAACTAATAAAAATCATCTCTATTTCTGTAGTATATCTTTCATTCTATCAATTAGACCAAGAAAACAAGAATACAAACATAAAACCATACAAAAATACACGGCAAAGTCTTTGTTTTAAACCAAGAACATCATCGCAGTTTTTTCTCATTATGCTCTGCATGCAGAAGGATTTTTTTTATATGGTGCACACCTACCACATAGACCCATTCTCTCATATCTAGGCCCAAATTTACCTCTCACAGCTTAGCTGGGTGAAATGAGCTCATGGCATTATATTACAGGACCAACACTGGCTTCAGAGCCGTGATACAATGAGACTGACACCAAAAGGGTTAAAAAAATTTTCTAAAATACAAATTAAATAGAAGATAGTTGAAGAGTTTAGTAAGATATGTGAAAAAAGCAGACATAGTGCGACCCCATATCCACGGGTTCGGTTTCCAAGGTTTCATTTATCTGTGGTTTATCATAGGCCAAAAATACCCCATAATTTTGTTTAATAATGGCCCCAAGGTGTAAAAGTAGTGGTGGTGATAGTTCTTTAAAACCTAAGAGAAGCCATGAAGTGCTTCCTATCAGTGAAAAAGTGCTAAATCTTGTCTTGTTGTGTGTAATTTACGGCCGACTTGTTGAAAAAAAAAAATGTATGTAAATGAAAAGCGACTTATAAATAGGGTTTGCTACTATCCGTGGTTTTGGGTATCCGCGGTAGGTCTTGGAATATATCCCCCGCAGTTGTGGTGGTCCCACTATATAATTAATTACAAAATATACAAAAGCATTTCTGCTAGAATAGGGAATTTTATCTTGTGTTTTGTGTTTTGTCATTTTCATGCAAGTAAAATTCATGTTTTAAAAATTAGAAAGTAAAATTTTATTTTCCATTATTACTTCATTATACATCATAGTGGTCAAAACACCTATTTTCTGACTCCATTTGCTCTCCTCAGTGGTGGTCATTTATCAATCTACCCTAGTTTATTTACTGGGGGGATAGGGAAGGGTGACAGCCTTCACTCAGGCAGGTGAGAACCCTTTTTTCATTCATTTTATGAATAGGAGTTGGATATGTCTCCATAGCCCATGTGAAAATAACACATTCACCCAGCCTTCCTCTCGGTGAACGAGGTATTATGCTCTTTCCTTGAGGACAGATCTTTCCAAGACATGTCTCTGTTGTTCCATGATTTCATTTTCTCTGGAACACCTGTTCTATAATGGGAAATATATAGTGATGTGGGGTACTTGGAGGAAGTGTATTTATTGGTGATGCAACCCCCTCCCCCACCATTCACTTTGGGTCTCATGATTTGTTGTTCTTCACCATGGCTGCTTGGATAGCATTTTCAAGAACCTCACTGTACTTGCAAGCACCTGCCTCCAGAGCAAGGTTCATTCCCTCCTGGACTTCAGAGGTGGTTGATATTGACTGAAATTCTAGGAGTGCAGGTCATCCTAAATTGTTGGTGATGCACCTTTCTCTAGGTGTACAGTCCAAATTGATGTTTTGTGCTGGGCGAGTTTGCACTCTACTTCTGGCAGTTCTCTGATCTGATGTTAGTCTTTGTAGATTTCACTGCCCATCATTCCTTCAAGACACTGTCCCTCTCTACATGGTAATGGACATCACATATTTTGATTCCTTTCTACTTTGGGTTGATATATATGCAGGTCATACTTCCATCATGGAGGATTTTTTTTTTTTTTCTTTTTTTTTTTAGCTGTTGTGGCTGTGTTGGTTGGTCAGTTTTTTGGATTAATGAAATGTCTCATGGTTCTCATGACTCCAGCCAGCACTCTGGTGCTCAGTATGAGGGCGGTCCATCTGTTGTGCAAAGTGATGCAACTCACTTAGGAAGTATGTGGACAAGCCCTGTCAATTTAGGATCATGAGCCTTAGGATCATGAGCTGGAAGATATGAGTGTTTTACTTGAAGAGAGACTTTGTTGAAGTTATTTTTTTCTTGGACTATTATCTAGGATGGAGCAAAATTTTGTGTAATTTTAATCTCCAGTTTGTAAACTTATTATGTTGAGAGATCCTTTGAAATGTGCATTACATTTCTTGTTATACAGTTATTCTTATTTTCTATTATTAACAGCAATGGATGACATAGCATGTGGCTTTGATATTGACACATGCAGATGGATAGGATCAGATATGCTTAAAGTAGGAATGGAAGCTGGAGTGCATGCAGATCAAGACCAAGGAAACTATCTTTATCTAGCCGTCCATGACTCCAATGAAGCACCCTATCAATCAGTTCTTCAATCCAGGCGTATAGCAGAGAATCCACGTGATTTACATGATTATTGTTTCCATTTCTGGTAAGTTTTAAGTCTTCTACACTTTTATTGCTGAATTTTTTTAATTCATGGGTTTAAAAAATATATTTTTAGGAAGTATAACTGAAGGTATCCTGTGAGCTTAGATAACTAGAAACATAATGAGTGGTATTACAGTTTTGTGAGTCATAGGAGTGAAGACTGAATAAGAAATCTGCTTGAATGCTTGTTTTAACTCTTATGAAGGTAAAGTGAATAAAAACAACTGATCTTATAGAATATTTTAATATTTAAAATCAAGAAAATCTTAACAAAATTAATGTATTCTGTTAGTTAATTGGATGTCATAGCAGTTGAATAATGAAGTGAAATTTGAGAAGGTGCATAAATGTTGAGGTGATAAGAGCACATGCAAGATGTACAGTATGATGGAAGGAGATAATTGTTGGTTGATTTTGTCAGTGATAACATAAAGCACACCCAAACATGCAGACAGATACCAAAAAAATTCCTAATGAGAACTATGTGAGTGCCACTATTCTTTTGACAATGTTTATTATGGCCCATGCTAAACAGGTTCAGCTCACACACAGCCATGTCCACTAAGTTACTTGCTGTATCTTCACCATCTCTATTCAGTCACTCCACAAAACTGAAGATCTTTGAATCAGTTTGTCTGTGAGGCAGTGGGTAGAATGAAAGGAGGTAAGGCAGCATGGATTGATGGGATAAAGATAGAAATGTTAAAAGCAGGTGGAGATATTGTTGTGGAGTGGTTGGTGCTTTTATTTAATAAATGTATGGAAGAGGGTGAGGTACCTAGGGACTGGCAGAGAGCATGCATAGTTCCTTTGTATAAAAGCAAAGGGAACAAAATAGAGTGCAAAAATTATAGGGGAATAATTCTGTTGAGTTTACCTGGTAAAGTGTATAATAGAGTTATTATTGAAATAATTAAGAGTAAGACTGAGAGAAGGCTAGCAGATGAACACAGAGGCCTTAGGAAGGGTAGAGGGCATGTAGACCAAGTATTTATAGTGAAACATATAGGTGAACAGTATTTAGATAAGGGTAAAGAGGTTTTTGTGGCATTTATGGATTTGGAAAATGCATGTGACAAGGTAGATAGGGGGGCAATGTGGCAGAGGTTGCAAATGTATGGAATAGGAAGTAGGTTATTAAAAGCAGTATAAAAGTTTTTACAAGGATATGAGGCTCAGGTTAGAGTAAATAGGAGACAGGGAGATTATTTCCTAGTAAAAGTAGGCCTTAGACAGAGATGTGTGATGTCACCATGGTTGTTCAAAATATTTAAAGATGGAGTTGTAAGAAAAGTGAATGCTCGGGTGTTGGCAAGAGGTGTGGGGTTAAAAAATAATCTTACACAAAGCAGGAGTTGTCACAGTTGCTCTTTGTTGATGACACTGTGCTTTTGAGAGATTCTGAAGAGAAGTTGCAGAGGTTGGTGGATGAGTTTGGTTGGGTATGTAAAAGAAGAAAATTAAAAGTGAATATAGGAAAGCGTAAGGTGATGAAGATGAAAAAAAAATAGGTAATGCAAGATTGGATATCTTAATGGAGGGAGAGAGTTTGGAGGAGGTGAATATATATATTCAGATATTTAGGAGTGGACATGTCAGCAGATAGGTCTGTGAAAGATGAGATGACTCATAGAATTGATGAGGGGAAAAAGGTGAGTGGTATGTTGAGGAGTCTGTGGAAACAAAGAACTTTGTCCATGGAAGCAAAGAGGGGAATGTATGAGAATATAATTATACCAATGCTCTTATATGGGTGTGAAGCATGGGTAGTGAATGTTGTAACAAGGAGAAGGCTGGAGGCAGTGAAGATGTGTCTGATGGCAATGTGTGGTGTGAATATAATCAGAGAATTCGTAGTTTGGAAATTAGGAGGAAGTGCAGGATTACCATAACTATTATCCAGAGGGCTGAGGAGTTGTTGAGCTGGTTTGGACATGCAGAGAGGTTGGAACAAAATAGAATGACTTCGAGAGTGTATAAATCTCTAGTGGAGGGAAGGAGGGGTAGAGGCCATCCTAGGGAAGGTTGGAGGGAGGGGGTAAAGGAGGTTTTGTGTGAAAGGGGCTTGAACTTGCAGCAAACATGTGTGAGCGTGTTAGACAGGGGCGAATGGAGACAAATGTTTTTTAGGACTTGATATGCTGTTGTAGTGGGAGCAGGGTAATATTTATGAAGGGGTTCAGGGAAACCGACAGGCTGGACTTGAGTGCTGGAGATGGGTAGTACAGTGCCTGCACTCTGAAGGAGGGAGTGCTAATGTTGCAGTTTTTATAACTGTAGTGTAAGCTTGCCTCTGGCAAGACAGTGATGGAGTGAATTATGGTGAAAGTTTTTCTTTTTCAGGCCACCCTACCTTGGTAGGAAACACCCAGTGTGTTAATAAATAAAAAATATCTTCCATTCTAAGATCAAATGAGACCAAGAAGTGGAGAATACAACCAGCTCCTGTGCTAGACAGCACACCCCACCACTTTTCAAAAGACTCAACTTGCTAAATATACAAGACATACACTCTTATTATTGTGCCTACTACATATACAGAACTTTAAACTCCACTGTAAACCCTCCCCTAAAACTACTCCTCGACAGTTACAATAGAGTGCACAGTCACAATACAAGGCATAAGGCACTTTTCAACATCCCTCGAGTAAGACTCTCACTATGCAAGAACGCTATGCACATAAAAGGCCCAAGATCTGGAACTCGCTACCAGAACAGGTCAAGGATCCCCAGACAACTTATAAATTTAGGACTCTGCTAAAAAAATCATCTTATCTCACAATATTAACCAGATCAACCAAACATTTACTGACTAGTTTTATCATGTGACCTCCTGGTTTTTAATTCTGCCATTCCATAAAATATTACCACCTGCACCATTCCTTGTAAATTAGATTTTGTACTAATTATACATATGATTTATTAAGTCCAAATAAGATTGTAAAACAGCTAACCGCTATTCTATGTTTAGTTTTAAATATAATTACTATGTACTATTATCTTATCTAGTTTTAATTAGTTACTATGTATTAGGATTAGTTTGCCCGAAATGCCTCGGCATGATAGTGGCTATCTTTGTACTTAGCAAATCAAAATTGTAATTACACATTGTAACTTTTACAAAGAAATAAGCTTATTATTATTATTATTATTAATATTATTATTATTATTATTATTATTATTATTTTTTTTTTTTTTTTTTTCAACAAGTCGGCCGTCTCCCACCGAGGCAGGGTGACCCAAAAAAGAAAGAAAATCCCCAAAAAGAAAATACTTTCATCATCATTCAACACTTTCACCACACTCGCACATTATCACTGTTTTTGCAGAGGTGCTCAGAATACAACAGTCTAGAAGCATACACATATAAAGATACACAACATATCCCTCCAAACTGCCAATATCCCAAACCCCTCCTTTAAAGTGCAGGCATTGTACTTCCCATTTCCAGGACTCAAGTCCGACTATATGAAAATAACCGGTTTCCTGAATCCCTTCACTAAATATTACCCTGCTCACACTCCAACAGATCGTCAGGTCCCAAGTCCCATTCGTCTCCATTCACTCCTATCTAACACGCTCACGCACGCTTGCTGGAAGTCCAAGCCCCTTACCCACAAAACCTCCTTTACCCCCTCTCTCCAACCCTTTCGAGGACGACCCCTACCCGCCTTCCTTCCCCTATAGATTTATGTGCTTTCCATGTCATTCTACTTTGATCCATTCTCTCTAAATGACCAAACCACCTCAACAACCCCTCTTCTGCCCTCTGACTAATACTTTTATTAACTCCACACCTTCTCCTAATTTCCACACTCCGAATTTTCTGCATAATATTTACACCACACATTGCCCTTAAACAGACATCTCCACTGCCTCCAACCGTCTCCTCGCTGCTGCATTTACCACCCAAGCTTCACACCCATATAAGAGTGTTGGTACTACTATACTTTCATACATTCCCTTCTTTGCCTCCATAGATAACGTTTTTTGACTCCACATATACCTCAACGCACCACTCACCTTTTTTCCCTCATCAATTCTATGATTAACCTCATCCTTCATAAATCCATCCGCCGACACGTCAACTCCCAAGTATCTGAAAAAACTTTCACTTCTTCCATACTCCTCCTCCCCAATTTGATATCCAATTTTTCTTTATCTAAATCATTTGACACCATCACCTTACTCTTTTCTATGTTCACTTTCAACTTTCTACCTTTACACACATTCCCAAACTCATCCACTAACCTTTGCAATTTTTCTTTAGAAATCTCCCATAAGCACAGTATCATCAGCAAAAAGTAACTGTGTCAATTCCCATTTTGAATTTGATTCCCCATAATTTAATCCCACCCCTCTCCCAAACACCCTAGCATTTACTTCCTTTACAACCCCATCTATAAATATATTAAAACAACCATGGTGACATTACACATCCCTGTCTAAGACCTACTTTTACCGCGAAATAGTCTCCCTCTCTTCTACACACCCTAACCTGACCTCACTATCTTCATAAAAACTCTTTTACAGCATTTAATAACTTACCACCTATTCCATATACTTGCAACATCTGCCACATTGCTCCTCTATCCACTCTATCATATGCCTTTTCTAAATCCATAAATGCAATAAAAACTTCCCTACCTTTATCTAAATACTGTTCACATATATGCTTCAATGTAAACACTTGATCTATACATCCCCTACCCACTCTGAAACCTCCTTGCTCATCCGCAATCCTACATTCTGTCTTACCTCTAATTCTTTCAATTATAACCCTAACCGTACACTTTTCCTGGTATACTCAGTAAGCTTATTCCTCTATAATTTTTACAGTCTCTTTTGTCCCCTTTCCCTTTATATAAAGGGACTATACATGCTCTCCGCCAATCCCTAGGTACCTTCCCCTCTTTCATACATTTATTAAACAAAAGTACCAACCACTCCAACACTATATCCCCCCCTGCTTTTAACATTTCTGTCATGATCCCATCAGTA